CACTCACCTCAGTTCTAGCCGACCTGTGACAATGAGACTGTCACAGGTCGGCTCAGTAGATCGGGAGGTGAGGGAACACATACCGGCGTTCGCTCACCTCTCGATCCTGTCACGGCTCTCTGCCGGGACAGGGGGAGGGGCTGGGTTCCCCCCTCCCCGCTCCGATCTGCCAGCGCTGACTGGTGGAATGGACGGGAGAGGGGGCGGGTACAGCTGGCTCTGCCTCTAGATAGGAGGAGCCAGCTGTCAGTCACGCAGCTGGGCGGATCCAGACATAATTGTCGGGATCCATTTCAGCTGCGGCGTCTCAGTATATAGGGAGCTGTAGCTCGCGGTATACTGAGCCTAGGGTGACGGGAGGACGCTTCTTTGTGTCCTCCCGTTACCCTAAGGAGAACTATGAGGAAAGTCCTAACCCCATAGTTCTCCTTTAAAATTTTCTCTACTTGTACCTGCAGGCCAAACTAACAAAGAAAAGTGGCAGTGACAACGTGTGAGCCAAACTAACATACTGTTGGGTAGGAGGAGGGTTATGCTGGTCACCTTCCATTCATCGGGGTTAAATATTTAAAAGAAAAAAAAAAACTTCCTGACACTCTTCAAGCTCCCCCTGGCAGTGTTTGAGGTTATCTGTATCAGTCACTGTCACTTGTACTGGACAGCTTGGCCGGCCATTTTAAAATGGGTCCCTGCAGCCCTGTGGTGTGTTTGTTCCTATCACTGCTCCATAGAGCTCCCTGCACTGTGAGGCACATGGAAGCTGATTCTGCTGATCTTTCCTTCTGCTTGTTGTCTGCCTGTCATGTTAATCTAGTGGCTTCAGTATTCGGATGCCTAGATGTGTCATTGTTATTAAGGGCCACAGGTCTGGTGTTGTATATGGGGTGCTCACTGACACCCATTTTCCATTTCCAGGGCTCCTCACAGTTGGGGCAAAAGAAAGTTGCTTTTCGGACTCAGCCCGACATTCGCTTCATGACCCTTCAGAGGACGCTGGGGGACCAAGGAGAATGGACAGCACCTAGTGATGGAGGAGAGAGCGATCAGGACCCTGCGCTGGACTCAGGATTCTCTCTGCTAAAGTCAGTAACCACTTGGGGCAAATAGTGTAGAAAATGCTCCGTCCTCCCCTCTCTCTATCCGTCCATCAGCTCCCACCTCTCTCCGTCCATCAGCTCCCACCCCTCTCCGTCCACCAGCTCCCGCCCCTCTCCGTCCACCAGCTCCCGCCCCTCTCCGTCCACCAGCTCCCGCCCCTCTCCGTCCACCAGCTCCCGCCCCTCTCCGTCCACCAGCTCCCGCCCCTCTCCGTCCACCAGCTCCCGCCCCTCTCCGTCCACCAGCTCCCGCCCCTCTCCGTCCACCAGCTCCCGCCCCTCTCCGTCCACCAGCTCCCGCCCCTCTCCGTCCACCAGCTCCCGCCCCTCTCCGTCCACCAGCTCCCGCCCCTCTCCGTCCACCAGCTCCCGCCCCTCTCCGTCCACCAGCTCCCGCCCCTCTCCGTCCACCAGCTCCCGCCCCTCTCCGTCCACCAGCTCCCGCCCCTCTCCGTCCACCAGCTCCCGCCCCTCTCCGTCCACCAGCTCCCGCCCCTCTCCGTCCACCAGCTCCCGCCCCTCTCCGTCCACCAGCTCCCGCCCCTCTCCGTCCACCAGCTCCCGCCCCTCTCCGTCCACCAGCTCCCGCCCCTCTCCGTCCACCAGCTCCCGCCCCTCTCCGTCCACCAGCTCCCGCCCCTCTCCGTCCACCAGCTCCCGCCCCTCTCCGTCCACCAGCTCCCGCCCCTCTCCGTCCACCAGCTCCCGCCCCTCTCCGTCCACCAGCTCCCGCCCCTCTCCGTCCACCAGCTCCCGCCCCTCTCCGTCCACCAGCTCCCGCCCCTCTCCGTCCACCAGCTCCCGCCCCTCTCCGTCCACCAGCTCCCGCCCCTCTCCGTCCACCAGCTCCCGCCCCTCTCCGTCCACCAGCTCCCGCCCCTCTCCGTCCACCAGCTCCCGCCCCTCTCCGTCCACCAGCTCCCGCCCCTCTCCGTCCACCAGCTCCCGCCCCTCTCCGTCCACCAGCTCCCGCCCCTCTCCGTCCACCAGCTCCCGCCCCTCTCCGTCCACCAGCTCCCGCCCCTCTCCGTCCACCAGCTCCCGCCCCTCTCCGTCCACCAGCTCCCGCCCCTCTCCGTCCACCAGCTCCCGCCCCTCTCCGTCCACCAGCTCCCGCCCCTCTCCGTCCACCAGCTCCCGCCCCTCTCCGTCCACCAGCTCCCGCCCCTCTCCGTCCACCAGCTCCCGCCCCTCTCCGTCCACCAGCTCCCGCCCCTCTCCGTCCACCAGCTCCCGCCCCTCTCCGTCCACCAGCTCCCGCCCCTCTCCGTCCACCAGCTCCCGCCCCTCTCCGTCCACCAGCTCCCGCCCCTCTCCGTCCACCAGCTCCCGCCCCTCTCCGTCCACCAGCTCCCGCCCCTCTCCGTCCACCAGCTCCCGCCCCTCTCCGTCCACCAGCTCCCGCCCCTCTCCGTCCACCAGCTCCCGCCCCTCTCCGTCCACCAGCTCCCGCCCCTCTCCGTCCACCAGCTCCCGCCCCTCTCCGTCCACCAGCTCCCGCCCCTCTCCGTCCACCAGCTCCCGCCCCTCTCCGTCCACCAGCTCCCGCCCCTCTCCGTCCACCAGCTCCCGCCCCTCTCCGTCCACCAGCTCCCGCCCCTCTCCGTCCACCAGCTCCCGCCCCTCTCCGTCCACCAGCTCCCGCCCCTCTCCGTCCACCAGCTCCCGCCCCTCTCCGTCCACCAGCTCCCGCCCCTCTCCGTCCACCAGCTCCCGCCCCTCTCCGTCCACCAGCTCCCGCCCCTCTCCGTCCACCAGCTCCCGCCCCTCTCCGTCCACCAGCTCCCGCCCCTCTCCGTCCACCAGCTCCCGCCCCTCTCCGTCCACCAGCTCCCGCCCCTCTCCGTCCACCAGCTCCCGCCCCTCTCCGTCCACCAGCTCCCGCCCCTCTCCGTCCACCAGCTCCCGCCCCTCTCCGTCCACCAGCTCCCGCCCCTCTCCGTCCACCAGCTCCCGCCCCTCTCCGTCCACCAGCTCCCGCCCCTCTCCGTCCACCAGCTCCCGCCCCTCTCCGTCCACCAGCTCCCGCCCCTCTCCGTCCACCAGCTCCCGCCCCTCTCCGTCCACCAGCTCCCGCCCCTCTCCGTCCACCAGCTCCCGCCCCTCTCCGTCCACCAGCTCCCGCCCCTCTCCGTCCACCAGCTCCCGCCCCTCTCCGTCCACCAGCTCCCGCCCCTCTCCGTCCACCAGCTCCCGCCCCTCTCCGTCCACCAGCTCCCGCCCCTCTCCGTCCACCAGCTCCCGCCCCTCTCCGTCCACCAGCTCCCGCCCCTCTCCGTCCACCAGCTCCCGCCCCTCTCCGTCCACCAGCTCCCGCCCCTCTCCGTCCACCAGCTCCCGCCCCTCTCCGTCCACCAGCTCCCGCCCCTCTCCGTCCACCAGCTCCCGCCCCTCTCCGTCCACCAGCTCCCGCCCCTCTCCGTCCACCAGCTCCCGCCCCTCTCCGTCCACCAGCTCCCGCCCCTCTCCGTCCACCAGCTCCCGCCCCTCTCCGTCCACCAGCTCCCGCCCCTCTCCGTCCACCAGCTCCCGCCCCTCTCCGTCCACCAGCTCCCGCCCCTCTCCGTCCACCAGCTCCCGCCCCTCTCCGTCCACCAGCTCCCGCCCCTCTCCGTCCACCAGCTCCCGCCCCTCTCCGTCCACCAGCTCCCGCCCCTCTCCGTCCACCAGCTCCCGCCCCTCTCCGTCCACCAGCTCCCACCCCTCTCCGTCCACCAACTCCCACCTCTCTCCGTCCACCAGGTGGGAGCTCCGTCCACCAGCTCCCACCTCTCTCCGTCCACCAGCTCCCCCCCCTCTCCGTCCACCAGCTCCCACCCCTCTCCGTCCACCAGCTCCCACCTCTCTCCGTCCACCAGCTCCCCCCCCTCTCCGTCCACCAGCTCCCACCCCTCTCCGTCCACCAGCTCCCACCTCTCTCCGTCCACCAGCTCCCCCCCCTCTCCGTCCACCAGCTCCCACCCCTCTCCGTCCACCAGCTCCCACCTCTCTCCGTCCACCAGCTCCCCCCCCTCTCCGTCCACCAGCTCCCACCCCTCTCCGTCCACCAGCTCCCACCTCTCTCCGTCCACCAGCTCCCCCCCCTCTCCGTCCACCAGCTCCCACCCCTCTCCGTCCACCAGCTCCCACCTCTCTCCGTCCACCAGCTCCCCCCCCTCTCCGTCCACCAGCTCCCACCCCTCTCCGTCCACCAGCTCCCACCTCTCTCCGTCCACCAGCTCCCCCCCCTCTCCGTCCACCAGCTCCCACCCCTCTCCGTCCACCAGCTCCCACCTCTCTCCGTCCACCAGCTCCCCCCCCTCTCCGTCCACCAGCTCCCACCCCTCTCCGTCCACCAGCTCCCACCTCTCTCCGTCCACCAGCTCCCCCCCCTCTCCGTCCACCAGCTCCCACCCCTCTCCGTCCACCAGCTCCCACCTCTCTCCGTCCACCAGCTCCCCCCCCTCTCCGTCCACCAGCTCCCACCCCTCTCCGTCCACCAGCTCCCACCTCTCTCCGTCCACCAGCTCCCCCCCCTCTCCGTCCACCAGCTCCCACCCCTCTCCGTCCACCAGCTCCCACCTCTCTCCGTCCACCAGCTCCCCCCCCTCTCCGTCCACCAGCTCCCACCCCTCTCCGTCCACCAGCTCCCACCTCTCTCCGTCCACCAGCTCCCCCCCCTCTCCGTCCACCAGCTCCCACCCCTCTCCGTCCACCAGCTCCCACCTCTCTCCGTCCACCAGCTCCCCCCCCTCTCCGTCCACCAGCTCCCACCCCTCTCCGTCCACCAGCTCCCACCTCTCTCCGTCCACCAGCTCCCCCCCCTCTCCGTCCACCAGCTCCCACCCCTCTCCGTCCACCAGCTCCCACCTCTCTCCGTCCACCAGCTCCCCCCCCTCTCCGTCCACCAGCTCCCACCCCTCTCCGTCCACCAGCTCCCACCTCTCTCCGTCCACCAGCTCCCCCCCCTCTCCGTCCACCAGCTCCCACCCCTCTCCGTCCACCAGCTCCCACCTCTCTCCGTCCACCAGCTCCCCCCCCTCTCCGTCCACCAGCTCCCACCCCTCTCCGTCCACCAGCTCCCACCTCTCTCCGTCCACCAGCTCCCCCCCCTCTCCGTCCACCAGCTCCCACCCCTCTCCGTCCACCAGCTCCCACCTCTCTCCGTCCACCAGCTCCCCCCCCTCTCCGTCCACCAGCTCCCACCCCTCTCCGTCCACCAGCTCCCACCTCTCTCCGTCCACCAGCTCCCCCCCCTCTCCGTCCACCAGCTCCCACCCCTCTCCGTCCACCAGCTCTATCTGTAGCAAATTGTTACCCTCCTACAATTTGCCTTCTTACATTATGTGCCCCCCACACTGATCTTGCTTGTTACATGGTAGGATTCATAGGACACAATCTCTCCTCTGATATGAAAGTGCAAAGAGTGAATGGTTGTGACATGCGATGGATGAAACATCTTCGCTCCATGGGTCATAATAGGCAGACTTCCTGTTCTTCCTAGCGTAGTCTCTGTCCAGTAGATGAGATAAGAGACCTCTTCCCGCAGTCCCAGGCTGGTGCCTTGTATAATCATTCCTTGTCAGGATTTATGGGTTATGCTGGTTCCTGGACTCAGAACCCTGTCCTTTCTCTCTCCTCAGCTCCAGGACACCAGACCGGTCTCTGGCGGATGAGCCACTCTCTGTTCAGAGGGCCCGTAACAAGTTATCTGAGATGGAGCTACAGGAGATGTCTGTGAAACTGTCACGGCGCCTGGATGAGCTGGATCAGGTGAGTGCGGTGTGCACGGCGAGCAGTCTATATCAGTTGTGTATTGTGTGCTCATGTCTCTTACCGCGTACTGTATGAGCAGATGCTGAAGAAGGCGTTGGGGGAGCGTGCCCGGAGCAGCGAACCTAAAGATGAGGACAAACTGTCCCAGCACAGTGACAGCATCATGGAATTCCACAGAAAGAAGCGGCTGCAGGGTGAGTGGCACTGCTGAGTCCAACCACAGGAGGGGCAGCTGTGCTGAATGAGTCTCTTGTATATTTTATTGAGCACAGGGAGGGACAAATTGAAGTCCGACAATGCAGCACTCTGTACCTGAGCAGCCATTGTCCTAGGCCAGTGATGGCGAACCTTGGCACTCCAGCTGTTTGGGAACTACAAGTCCCATGAGGCATTGCAAGGCTCTGACAGCTACAGACATAACTCCCAGAGGCAGATGCATGTTGGGATATGTAGTTTTGGCACAGCTGGAGTGCCAAGGTTCGCCACCACTGTCCTAGGCCCTGGGCTGTGTCATGTGAAGGGGAAAGGGCCTTTGTAAGCTCTGACTTGGACCCTAAACAGGGCTGTTCCTTAAAGGAGAACTATGGGGTTAAGGCTTTTCCCCATAGTTCTCCTAAGGGTCACTGGAGGACACAAACTAGCGTCCTCCCGTCACCCTAAGCTCAGTATATAGGGAGCTACAGCTCGCGGTATACTGAGACGCCGCAGCTGGGTGGATTCTGACAGAATTGTCGGGATCCACTGCGGCGTGAGTGACAGCTGGTTCTGCCTATCTAGAGGCAGGGCCAGCTGTGCCCGCCCCCTCCCCTGTCTGTTTCTCCCGTCAGGATGGAGGGGGGGATCCTTGCGGGGAGCGATGACTGACAGTCACGGCTCTCTGCACAGATAGATCGAGAAGTGAGCTAACGCCGGTATGAGTTCTCTCACTTCCCGATCTACAGTCTCATTGTCACAGGTCGGCTCAGATTATGAGGCTGAGTGAAAATCACTCTACTCATAGTTCTCCTTTAAGGCTTCCATGAGCAACCTGGCTGTCAGGGAAGATCAATGAACATAAGCATCAACAGCAGGAAGAGTGGCTTTCAAGCTGTTACTTCCTCCTCAAGTCCAGGTTCTCTTTAAACTGAGGTTGATACTGGCTCTCTTTAAGGCCCCGTTCACATTGAGCGATTTATCGCGCGGTAATTCCCGCCATATCGCGGCTATTTACCGCGCGATATCGCTCTTCAATGCTTTGCAATGGGGCAAAGGGTCCTGCTGTCGCGGGTCGTGTGTCGCTACAGCAGGACCCTTTTTTGGAGCGGATTTTGCCGCGATTCAATGCTTTCTGATGCAAGCATATGCGCGATATCACGCAAAATGCGAATCGCGCGACAAATGCGCGAATCGCCCAGATTGAATGGGGCCTAAGGCGCTTTAACATGCACCCTTAAAAAGCAGAGAGAGTGCTGCAATGTTCCCTTAGAGAGTTTCCAGGAGCTCCGGAGCTTAATAATGCAAATAGTGACTTCCACTCCGGTAGCTCCAGACAGCTCAGACCCCCAGCAGCCCCTCTCACCTCAGGATTAGGCAGTGTGGCGTTCGGATTACGCCATGTTGAACGCGCTTTTATCCGGTGCCTTATAACCAGTATATCTTCTCCTGCAGCTGCACGGAACCATAAAAAGCCGCCCACCAGACCCCGCTCCCTCTCGTCATCCCCCGTACCGCTGCCAACACCACGACAGCTACCATGTGCGCAGTTTGAGGACGCTCTACACAAGGAGGCGAGAGGGGAGCTGGGGAAGATTCGGAGGGAGGTGCAGAAAGAACTGGACCTGCAAAGGCTCAAAGCTCAGGTACACTAACCACCGTATTGAGGGGAATAACTAATACGGAGGCTATGACCTTAAAGTGAACCTGTCACCTCCATTAGATGTGTTGGTAGTATTTTCAGCCAATCAGTTTCTTTGTGCCTGGGTTCCTGCATCCTTCATTCTCTTTGAGATGAGATTTAGCCCCGCCCTCCTTGCACTAAGCCCCACCCTCCGTTATTCAGCTAGTAGAAGCCCTGGCATTGGGCTACTGGGGGCAGGTTTTAGGTCAGGGCTTATTCTGAACTTGGGACCCAGGGCCCCAGCAGACACCATGGAATTGATTCAGAGACAAGCATGCATTGCACTTTACTGATAATGTTACATTAGCCATTTTGGCGTAACATACATGCTCACATTACAGTGAACCAGTCTCACTGGTTGCAGTGCTTTTATTCACAGGGCTCCATTGATTGACGCTACATACACTCAGGAGGTACAAAGAGGTTACGTGATCAGCATTAGGTCAGAAGGGACATTCATAGGCAAGGCTCAGCCTCTCGAAGGCTTTGTTCACACTGAGTGTTCTGGCATTCCTGCGGCAGGAGTGCCAGGTGTCCCTTAGAACAACGGCGATGGTATATGATATGATAACATGCAGTTTAATCCTAGTCCTTGAATGCATCTATCCTACTTCCAGGGTTAGTGATCTATTCCAAACTGCATGAAATTGTATCATATACCATGGCCGCGTATACGATTACATGTGGACTGCCGCTTACAGACGCAGCCATTGACGCCCGGTCATTATCCTGAATGGGCACATCGGCTGCATCTAAACGTAACACCTGGCATTCCTGCCGCAGGCATCCCAAATCGCCCGGTTTTAATGGGGCCTAAGATGAGGGCGCTCCGTCCTACCCAAGGTCAGGTGACCCTGCCTTCACTTCAAATTTTTATGATATTGGGAATTGTCATTAATGGTCTCCAAGTGCACTTTTGGCGGTCTGGTCGCAGCACAGATATAACAAATGCATGTTCCAGTCTGGGTTTGTCCCTTTTTTTTTTAATGCCCTGCCCACTTTTCACTCCCCGGAGTAGTAGGAGCGTATATGTATCCCACAGACTAAACGTCCTCATTTATAAGTCACATTTTATTTACTAAGTCCTGATTTATGATGCCTCAATGTTATGGGGCCGGCTGCTAATCCTCCCAAGACAGAGCTCCTTTTTGGCTCAGGGGGTTTAGCAGCCAACTAACAAGCGAGCACCGACCTCGACGTTGCCGGATCGAATCCCGGCTTCTCCCTTTCTGAATTTTTTTTTTAACTTGGAAAGGACGTTTGAACCTGCAATAGGAGATCAGACCCATCAGTCATTGAGCAGAGGCGAGTAGCTCAGTGGATAAGAGCAGTACCCAGAGCGCCAGAAGCCTCGAGTTCAATTCCTGTAGCCCCCAGGTCAAGTCTCTGAGTGCATTGTGCAGACATCACTCAGTGACAGCGCCGTGAACTCGAGCTCAGATCTCCCAGTGAAGTGGGAGGAATCGCTTGGAGATGGAAGGACCGTAGACCCGAGCTTGAATCGCTGAGTGAGAGCTTGGAGGCCATGGACAACCCACCAGTCTGCTCCAGTCCCAGGCCCCCACAGGCCTGTAACATGTGTGTGCATCACAATAGAGTGTGGACTACCCCCTCTTCGGTCCATAGTCTGTGACATCACTGCAACATATATAAATACAAGGGCCTGTCTTACCGGGCCGGCCCATTCAAAAAACAGGGACTTAGGTTTTCTTTGCTCACCCTATATATATATATCCGAGTCACCTCCCAGGTAATGCACAGTACCTGAACCCCCTGCTGGTGGGATAGAGTAGTGGGCTTGAAACATTCCCCACTACCCTGTTCCACCAACAGGGGGCTCAGGTACTGTGCAGCACCCAGTGGCTCGTTGTGGCTCTCCCCCAGAGGGATTTGAACTCAGGTCTCCATCAGATCAGTCTGAGTCCTTACTCTCTGAGCCACCACCTATGCTCAGACACTGAGGTGTTCGTTCTCGTACTTCATCTGCTGGAAAGTCGCTGCAACTAAAGATAAAGAAAGATTAGAACCGGCGGCTCCAACGTCTCTGCTGGGTTGTTGGCTGGTTACGATATCTCCGAGCCAGACGCCAGGCTGGTGGGAAAGCTTGATCCGCACGGCTCTTAGTGTCTCATCGACACCGCACGCTACCAGTGAAATAAATAACGGCAAGCACCGGGATTCGAACCCACATCTCAGAAACATATCACCGAATATAGGCGCACCAGCTCTCCGAGCCACAAGATTGGAAGAGTTTCCAGCAATTTTTTTTCTCATACTTATATTTCTGATATGTTGGAGGCGACCGGAAATATTATAAGTCCCATCACCCAAAATAAAGTACTCCTGAAGTAGGAGAAGGAGATACTCAGCAACTGAGAGGTGGCAGTAGCTCAGAGGGTAAGAGCTCTGTCGGAAAAGAAAAACAGACATGAGTTCAAATCCTGGAGCAGACTGCTTCACCTCTCATAGCCCAGGACCTATGCCCAAATACCCCAATGTGGTGACAGGGGGGGCAGAAACATTTTGGACCATTACTCTGCCATGTATAATTAAGTCCATAATCAAGACCGAGGGAAAATCTTTGAGGTCCAATAAGATAAAGAAAAAAAAAACATTCTAAGTATCACATCCAAAATAGAGTAAAATATTCAACGGCCAACTTTTTTTTAAAATAGAGAAAACTATTCTAAGTCCCATCATCCAAAATAATAAAAAATCTTCTAAGTCCCATCATGTAACATAAAGAAAACAGCCCAGAATAGAGAGAAATGTTGTAAGATGAACCAGTCACCATAAAGTACTTCTGAAGTAGGAGAAGGAGATCCTCAGCAACTGAGAGGTGGCAGCAGCTCAGAGGGTAAGAGCTCCGTCCAGAAAGAAAAACAGACAAGTTCAAATCCCAGAGCAGACTGCTTCATCTCTCAGAGCCCAGGACCCATGTCTGAATGCCCCAATGGGGGTGACAGGCCGGGGGGCAACATGGTTTTATTCTACTGAAACTTTACTGTCAGAGGTTTGTTTATTTTAAGTTCCAAAATATCAAATTGTGAAGAATATTTAAAATGTTCAACTTTTTAAAATGGGGAAAAAATAAAAAAAACATTCGAAGTCCCATCATCCGAACTAAGTCCCATCATCCGAAATAAAAAAACATTCTAAGTCCCATCATCCGAAATAAAAAAAACATTCTAAGTCCCGTCGTCCCAAATAAAAAAAACATTCTAAGTCCCGTCGTCCCAAATAAAAAAACATTCTAAGTCCCGTCGTCCCAAATAAAAAAAACATTCTATGTCCCGTCGTCCCAAATAAAAAAAACATTCTAAGTCCCGTCGTCCCAAATAAAAAAACATTCTAAGTCCCATCGTCCCAAATAAAAAAACATTCTAAGTCCCGTCGTCCGAAATAAAAAAACATTCTAAGTCCCGTCGTCCGAAATAAAAAAACATTCTAAGTCCCATCGTCCGAAATAAAAAAACATACATTTGTAGTCAACTGAAGTTATATTTAATAGACAAAGAATTTAGGATTGCTTGTTTAGGAGGAGGAGGAGGATGGTGGTGGTGATGGTGGTGTAAAGGAAATTTTCAGAACACATATGCTGCAAGATCACACGAAGTGACCCCAGTAATGGGGGTTTTCCGGCATCCTTCCACGTCCAGGGGTAACGTTGAAATATGTATAATCCGCGCTTATAGATCGATATGGACACTTTAAACAAATGAAAATATAAAAAATATATAAAATATAAATGAATAAAGTATAACTATATATTAGAGCTGCTGTACTAGGGACACGAGGGTCAAATAGTATGTAACTGGGTGTGCAGCGCTCAAGGTCATCAGTGAGTGAATTAAATCAGTGTTAGCATATTTAACTTAATAAGTGTTAATAATCATCATAAATATCAGTAATAGCCAGTGAACAAAAATCTCAAATCGTGCCCGAATTACAGAAAAAATGGTGGATCAAATATGTACAATTTCAAAATATGAAATATTAAAAATATATACAAAAAATGTATAAAAATCTCAAGCTTATCAAAGTGATATATAGCAAAGTGAGTCCAAAAGTGTATAAAAGTAAGTATAAGAAGGAGATGATAGTTGGTGATCCTACAGACGTCTCGTCCTCACCATATGGATCAGTATTTTATCAAAAAATATAAAAGGGACAAGAACTCCTCATGGTGTAGTCGATTGAATGCTTTATTGAACAAAAAAAGTAGCCACTTACATGTAAAATCGCTAAAAACGGCCGCTCACACGTCTGTGAGTAAAACCTCTGTGCTTCCTGGTTGCGTGTGATACCGAGAAGTGTCACTCCTGTAAGTTATATTTGGATGGTACGTCTATGGCAGATGTAGGTTGAGAGATGACATCACCTTGAAGCAATGGCATCCTCCCTATTACTCCCACCATTGCTCAGGCACACACATTGCATTGTGGGTAGCAGGCCTAAGCCTCACCTGGATTATGTCAGTGTGTGTGTGTACAGAGCCATAGCAAGGTCTCCGGTTCCCGTGTGAGGTCACATTGCAGGGCACACACTCCGTACTGTCTGAGCTCACATAAGAGGTACACCTCGTCCTCCATGAAGACACAGCAACACACCACAAGCCCAACATCCCTTGAAGCAGCTGAAGGCCCCCTGGTTAGTGTCTGCACCACATCCAAGCAAGCAACAATGGCGGCCGCTCAGGTCAATCTCAGACTAGCAATCAATACAAACCTTCCTCAGCACATAGAAACACTCCCATTGTTCCAGCATACAGGACACAGTACTTATCACCACCTTACCCCATTGGGTTGTGTTCACAGAAGTGACGCATTCTCTACAGGCCTCGTACACATGGGTTTCAGCTTGTATACCAGCAGCAAGGCATTTGCAGAGCTTTCTACAAACTTTGTTGAGGACCTTAAAGGACCCATCAGCTCCAGTTTGGGGATGTTAAAGAAAGATCTTAACATGAGTGCGATAAGCTGACAGGAGGACTCGGGAAGCCTCAGCAGTACTTGATTGTAGCCGGCTGGCAGCTCGTTTAGAGTGATAGTCAGGACTCCTATTCAGATCTTTAACCTTCCCAAACTGGAGCTGAAGGGTCCTTTAAGGTCTTCAGCAAAGCTGCCTGTAGAAAGCTGTGTGACCGCCTCGTATAGCTTGCTGTGCACGCTGCTGGTATACAAGCTGAAGCCCGGGGTACACGGCCTTCCACCTCCCTCATCAGTCTTCTGCTCTCTTCTACAGATGCTGAACGAGGCCTACAAGGAGGAACTGAAAGATTACGAGAAGTCTGAGAAAGTCAAACTATCAAAGCTGAAAGAAAACGTCAAGCAGAAGGTGAGTAACCCCCAACGCTGGGTGGTCAGAGCACCCCCTTCCTCTTCACTATGTTATTATTTGTGACTTCCCTTATGCCGATGTCTTCTGGCCGGTCACATGACGCGCTGTCCTCTCCGGTCCTCGGTCACATCAATATACAGTGAGTGCAGGGCGCCATGTTTAGGTGGCGGGGCCATGACACCCTGCACTCAGTCTTTCCCCAGCGATCCGAGGTATCCAACCTGAAAGACTGAGGACATCTTGTGGTGAAGAAGAGGTAATGCAGGACACAGCTCTAGACTGAGGGAGCCATGAGAGACGAATGGAGGCCGCCATTACTGAGCTACTAACGGGCTGACCCTGAGACAAGCAGGGGTGACGCCTTGTAATCTGGGACTGAATAATATCGCAGTCAGGCACGGCCAAGTCCTAGCATTTTAGGAGGCCTGCAATGGCAGCCCCATACTGCTCTCATGACCAACCACTGACACCCATTCTTCTCCAGATCCGATCTCTGTGCCTTGTGTATGTGCAGTGTCAGCACTTGGTGAGTGAGTGTGTGTGTGTGTGTGTGTGTGTGTGTGTCAGGCGCCTTCAGTCTGTGAGTTGTGGCCATTCACACAATGCTCAAAATGTTACCTGCTTATATTTTGCCTTCCTTGGTTCCCCCCTCCCCCTCATCAACATGCTAATTACATTTATATATAAGCAGGCTGTATTTGCATGGCATCCACCCTGGGTAACGCCCACATGTGATGCTGAGCCTTCATGATTGACAGAATAGATATCTAATGAATGAAATGGGCGGGGCCAGTCAGGCTGGGGAGGAAAGTGCTGGAAGATGCTGGACATCCTCCAGCCAGGAAATGAGGCGGGCTCTATGTGATTTGCTGCAGCTTCTAATGAACATTGTGAGGAGCTCCCAGTGTGCAGAGACATCAGAGGGAGAGGAGCCGCTACAACTGTGCAAGACTGTAGGGAAGGACGGAGGTCAGATAGAAGACTGAAGGGGAGGACGGAGGTCAGATAGATAGACCGAAGGGGAGGACGAAGGTCAGATAGAAGACCGAAGGGGAGGACGGAGGTCAGATAGAAGACCGAAGGGGAGGACGGAGGTCAGATAGAAGACCGAAGGGGAGGACGGAGGTCAGATAGAAGACCGAAGGGGAGGACGGAGGTCAGATAGAAGACCGAAGGGGAGGACGGAGGTCAGATAGAAGACCGAAGGGGAGGACGGAGGTCAGATAGAAGACCGAAGGGGAGGACGGAGGTCAGATAGAAGACCGAAGGGGAGGACGGAGGTCAGATAGAAGACCGAAGGGGAGGACGGAGGTCAGATAGAAGACCAAAGGGGAGGACGGAGGTCAGATAGAAGACCGAAGGGGAGGACGGAGGTCAGATAGAAGACTGAAGGGGAGGACGGAGGTCAGATAGAAGACCAAAGGGGAGGACGGAGGTCAGATGGAAGACTGAAGGGAAGGACGGAGGTCAGATGGAAGACTGGAGGGGAGGACGGAGGTCAGATAGAAGACCGGAGGGGAGGACGGAGGTCAGATAGAAGACCGCAGGGAAGGACGGAGGTCAGATGGAAGACTGAAGGGAAGGACGGAGGTCAGATGGAAGACTGGAGGGGAGGACAGATTTCAGGAGAGCCTCACCAAGCCAGTTTCGGCCCTTTGGTTGATCTCACTTCATCTGCTTTTTCCTCATTCAGGATCTGGAACATAAAGAAAATCTCTTCAGAGGCCCCGAGAAAAGGTCCCACCCGGAGAAGGTGTATTCTGGGAAGCAGGGGAGGCCGGCCTCCAGGCCGCGGCAGTGGGCTCCGAGCTGTCACAAGGCCGCAGCACACAGTAAGTGTCTCTCTCCCGCACACGGTTCTGAGCGGCTGGTGTCGTTGTCTTCACGCTCAGCCTCTCCTGTCGCCCGCAGTGAGGATTAAAGAGAACGACCTCCTTCCTCTCCTGCTGGAGGAATTCCCCCATCTGCAGATCTCCCCGCACACCTTCAATGCCATGTGGAAGGGCCAACTCGCCCAGGTGGAGCAACTCGCCCGGTCCGGCCAGGAGGACGAGAGGAGCGAGCGCAAGCTGCAGAGAGAGGTGAGTGCGGCCTGGAAGAGATCGGACTTCCTGCCCGCTGCTGGATCTGCACGGCTCAGCCTCTGACTCTTCTCTCTCTGTCTGTAGGTGGAGGACGCACACAAGAGACACGACCTCCTCACCGTCATCATCCGGAGGGAACAGGGACACAACCAGCGTCTGGTGAGTGCAGGGAGCTCAGTGCCGGGGTCCTGTGTACACTTCCCACCTCCTAACGAATGGGCCCGAGTGTGACAGGAAGTGACCTCACAACCACAGCGCGGCCTCTTCTTTATATCCAAAATAGCTGCAACTGAGACCTCGCTTCCCTTCACAGAAAGACTTCAAGGAGAGAATCCGCATGCAGAAGATGTCCCAGAATAAGATGAAGGAGAACCGGCAGCAGGCGGCGCGCGCCAAGAAATACTACGAGGACTACCACGTGCAGCTCCGAGGCAAAATGATGCGCGCCAGGACGCGGGAGGAGCGGGTACGTAGAGGAGGGCGGAGGGGAAAGTATTCTGTGATGTCACTCCCCCCACCCCCGGGCATAGCGTATAACACGGGGTGTCTATACAGAGGATGAAGTGACCCCGTACAGGACACAATGCAGAGATCCGATTGGCCGGAGGAGACACTTCCAGCACCACATCTCATTCATCTCCACTGGTGACACTCAGCAAAATCCTGAGCCAGAGTGCTATATACGGGGTCACTAACATCCTCTGCCTACCGGGGGTGGACAACAACACTAATCATCCTCTACATGCTGGGGGAACCACAACACTAATCATCCTCTACATGCTGGGGGAACAACAACACTAATCATCCTCTACATGCTGGGGGCACCACAACACTAATCATCCTCTACATGCTGGGGGTGCTGTTTCCTCTCCCTGACCTCTGTGCTCTCCTGTAGATCTTGAAGAACCTGTTTGATGACGGTCTGGAGATCCAGAAGCAGCGACTGCGAGAACTGCGCTCGTACACCAAGGAGCAGCGCGAGGAGCAGAGGAAGCGGCACCAAGACGAGCTGGAGTCCATGGAGAACTATTATAAAGATCAGGTCAGTCCACCCAGCCAATCACGGGGGGGGGTCCGTCATGTCCGTCCTCATCTGACGCTTCTTCCCTCTGTTCCTGGCAGTTCTCTATGCTGGCAGAAGTCGTGACCCAGGAGAAGAATGAAATGCAGGTGCATGAGAAGACGCAGTCCAAGGTGAGTGAGCTGCGTTACCCATAATCCTCTCTTACATGGGATAGGAGGAACCAAAAAATGGAACACAGATCTTTCTGCAGTGAAATTACACATCTGCGTTGTCACCCCGTGCACATGGCACATGCTAGACTTGGATGGACCTTCACTGAGCAACAAACACACATACTGCCCCCCATCATACCCCCCACACTCCTCTCCTGTACATACTGCCCCCCGTCATACCTCCCACACTCCTCTCCTGTACATACCGCACTCTGACCTACG